TTTTTATGGAGCCCTGTGGAGGCTGAAACCACTCAGCTGTAAGCAGGCAGCAAAATCAAACTTTTAATGGTGCATCCAGACAGGAGAAACAGGGCCAGGCCCCCTGGCAGCACGGGAGCACCAGCAGGACGTGCCAGGCCTGGGCCAGCCAACATTTCTTCCTTCTCTCCGTCCTTTTCCTTCTGCCCCCACCTGCCCAGCAGGCTGGGAACTCCCCAGCCATGGCGTGGCAGCCAGGGAGGGGCTGGGGTACAAACCTGGAGTGTCCCAGTCCCTGTCCCAGCAGCAGCAGTGCCTCCAGCAGGAGATGCAGCAGGAGCAGAGGGGCTGGGGGAGCCTGCTCAGTCCTTGGGGAAGGGGAACAATCCCTGCTGGGGCAGGGGCAGAGGCCACGGCCCCCTCTGGGCTCCCAGCAGTTACAGGTATTTATTGTATGTGCTCCTATTCTCCTTTCCTGGTCCAAAGATTCGGGATTTCCTCTGAATTGCGTGAAACCACCGCAGCAGCAGGGCTGGCCAGGGACTCCTCTCGTGCTGCCCTGGATCTGTGGGGGAGTGAGACTTTGAGGAAAGCAGAGTGTTGGTCACATATTCCCTGAGAAAGCCTGCGGGATAAGGCTTTGTTAAGGCAGGTGGGGATAGCTCCCCTTGGTGGGATCAGGGAAAATCCCTCCCTGTTCCCTGTGCACACAGCCCCACCCCAGGAATGAACCACCTGTGGGAGTGGGAGGGCTCCTGGGGACTGTCCCAGGTGTTTGTGTCACCTGGGTGTCCCCTGGGAACGCCACAGCCCCCTTTGACTGGCCATGGACACCAACACAGCAGAGCTGGGCTCCAGCCAGGCCAAAAAATAAATCACAGATCAACTAAAATAAATCACAAAACACAAACAGTCTGGTTTAGGACAGATAAGGCAGCGAGTGACAGAGATTTTGACAATTGCACTATCAGTGCAATTTGCTTGTCTTGTCCTTTGCTGATTTAGGGCTGTGTAAAAACCAGGCTCTGTAAAAAGCACCCACTCTCCTGTCACCTGAGCTTTGGTGCTGTCAGGCTGCTCTTTTTTTGGCACAGAAAAGCACAGTTAGGCTGCTGAGGATTTAAACCAAGACAAATGGCACTTTGCTTTATCCAGCTTCCACACAGAGGGCAGAGGACTTGTGTGATGGCTCAAATGTGTGGAAAGCAATTCCACTTCAAGACGTGCTCAGACCCTTCCTCAGACTCAAATCTCTCTGCACAGGAGTGACTGATGAAGGAAAAGCTATCAAATGTCCAGGTCAGCAGCATCAGATTGGTATTACAGCAGCCTGGGCAGTGCAGCTCAGCAGAGCTCTGCCCAGACCATTCATCTGGGGAGGCCAGGATGGAGGAACAGCAGTGACAAAGGACTTTGTGACACAGCAGCAGTGACTGACTCCTGTAAATGACTTCTTTGTTCAAACCTGCTGCTCCCCTTGCATTTTTGCAGTGCTCAGGGTATCAACTCAGCCTCTGTAAAACCAGACTTAAAGACTGCTGTCTTTAGGATGAGGCACCTCTTAAGTCCTAAACCATTTCCACCCAGGGCAGACCACACTGTGGGCAAGGGCCAGCTGCTTTTTGATTTCCTATGACCTTGCAGAGGTTTGAATGCACATCTACACCCTCTGAGGATTTACTGAATAAAAGCTGTACAGCTTTTGTAAAGGTGAGCTAAGAAGAGAAGCAAATACACCAATAGATCCTGTAATTGCTTCTCCAGATGAAAAACAGAGAATGGAACTTCTCTTCTGAAGTTAACTCCACTGGCTCCAGGGCTGGCCATGAGGCAGCCCAGAGTGTCTTGGAGCTGATTCTCAGAGGTTATTTTGAAGTTAATTTAGTGCCAGGATTTGTTGTGGAAAAAACAGATCCTGGCAAAAAATGTGTCTCTGTTCCCATGCAGCAGTGAGACAGGAATAAGGCCAGAGAGGCTCCAGGTGTATGTTATGGGCCTGTGTGTGTGCAGAGCTCTGTGTGGGTGAACAGGAGGATCTGCTCGTTTCCAGAGCTCTGTGTGGGCAGAGTTTTGTGTGTCCAGAGCTCTGTTTGTGCAGGACCTGTCCCCAGCCCTGAGTGTCCCCAGCTCTGTGTGTCCCCAGCCCTGAGTGTCCCCAGCCCTGAGTGTCCCCAGCCCTGAGTGTCCCCAGCTCTGTGTCCCCAGCTCTGTGTCCAGTCCCATGCGTCCCCAGCTCTGTGTTGACCCCTCCTCTCCCCCAAAAGGGTCATTCCCAGCTCCCCCCCAGCTGGGAGCTGTGGCAGCCAGCAGTGTCACACCTGACAGGATGCCCCAGACCAGGCACTGCTTGCAGCACTGATGATTTCTTTATGAGACGTGTTCCTGCAAGGCTTGCACCTTTAACACACTCTCATAATGGAAAACAAATCTTCCCCAGTGTTCACTGTCTCATTTTGCTGGTATCAGAAGAGAAAAGTGCTCCATGTCCCTCAGACAACACACAGGTCACCCTGGTTTTGGACAGGGAGGGGCTGGAAGGAAATTTGGGGATGTGCCCTGAGGGGCTCTTGAAACAGGGAAAACTTCTGAGCCATTTCCAGCCTGGGGAAAGGGCTGAGCACAGAGATCTGTCAAACCTCCAAGAGGTGACAAACTCCTGTGGCTCTGACAGGAGAAGGTGCAAATCTTCACCAGGATGAATTTTGCCTGGAGAGAGCTGGAAGAAAAAAGGATGTGAACATTAAAAGCATTTCAGAAATACCTTCTGTCTCTTTTCTGTAGCAAAAGTGGGAGGTGCAGACAAATAAAGACAGTTTTACAATTTGTACCTGCAGCTTTGGGGGCTATATTTGTAGTTTAACAGCTCCTGCCTTTCCTTAGCAGTGACTGTGGAACCCTTGGTGGACAGGGCTTGGAAACACTCTGAAAATGCCACTTATTCCCATTTAATCTCCCCAGCACATGCAATTTCAGTTGTTCCTTATAAACCAGCACAGATGGTGCATTACATGCTTTGGGATGCTGCCCTGCTGCTGCACTTAGTGCAGAACCTGGTGCTACTTCTCAGCGTCAGAATAAAAGAAAATGGATTGTTTGGGGTGACTGGGATGTGTAATCCCTGCACCATCACTCAGACTGAAAGTTTCATTCCTTAAAAAGCAAAAGCTGGTCTGTAACACCAGCCAGAGCTGGCTTTGCCACAGAGCCCTTCCCAAACCCTCCTGCCATGTCACAAACACATCACTCACTCCCAGAGGAGCCAGCCCGACCCTGCCCGTGGATGTTTCCAGCGTTCCTGTGCTCCAGGTGAGGCACAGGCACACCCCGGGCTGTCACCCTGGAACACACCCCACCCTCCCCACAAGAGAAGGGGCTTTGGAATGGGTTTCTTTGGTTTTGGCTTTTGTTTTATGCAAGCAAAGTTGGGAGCAGCTGGATGCTGGCTGGCTGGAAAAGCTGAAACCAAACAGATCACACCAAAGACAGGATTTGGCAAGCCGGGCTGGGGGCAGGCGGCAGGGCAGGGATGGGGCACCTTTGAAGCCTCGGAGGTGCTCCTGCTCCCAGAGCACACCCAGAGCTGCCTGCCAGGGCTCCTGCCTCGGCTGCACTGCCCATCCCCAGCGGATCCTGCGCTCCCCCCGTCCCTCCCCACAGCTCTGCCGCAAACCTGGGCAGTGCACAACGCTGCCAAGAGCTCTGCTGGGCTGCCAGAGGAGCTCTCCAAGGGCAGGTTCCACACGGAGCCCCAGTTTGGCTGCGCTGCCCCGCTGGTCCCTCCTGCCCGGGACTCCAGGGACACCCTGAGGGAAACAGCATCACTTGGAGAGGGGACCCAGCACAGCCCCAGCGTGCTCTCCACCCAAGCAAGGCAAGCAAGAGAAAAAAGCTCGGCTGGGAGCGTTGCTGAAGCGGGAGGCAAATGTGAAGCTGTGATGTTTGAGGTCTGGGCGAGTCTGCTCCTGAAGCTGCTCAAAGTGCGGCCCCACAGGAGCCTTCGTGCGGCTTTGCCTCTCTCCTCTCCCTCATCCTCTCAGAGCAGAGTTCCTTGGGGTTTGTGGGGTTTTACTGCCCTGTCTGACTGGTTCCCTCACCCGTGTGGGATGTGTGATGGAACCCTGGTCACTGCTCACCCCGACAGGGAGCCCAGGGCAGAGAGGACGAGAGGAAAACCCTCCCTGAAAACGGAGCAAGCTGGCTGGGACCATTTCCAGCGCCTGTGGGACAACAGGCGATGCTCCCAACCCCCTTTTCCTCGTTCTAATGGCATTTTTAGGCTATCTAGAAATACACAGCTCACCTGCCTTACCTGGGAAATGGCACTGGGGTTGGAGAGAGCACCTGGCTTTTCTGGGATAATCCCCCGTTCCTTGTCCCGGGACAGGACTCTGCGGCAGAACCGGGTGTGGCCGGGCTCCCTCCCCTGGAATCCCACCCTGCTCTATTCCACAGGCTCCGAGCTGTGCCTGCGGCTGCTCACTGCACATCTGGGCTGCTGACAGCACATCTGGGGTGCTCAGAGCACATCTGGGCTGCTGACAGCACATCTGGGCTGCTGACAGCACATCTGGGCTGCTCAGAGCACATCTGGGATGCTCACAGCACATCTGGAGTGCTGACAGCACATCTGGGGTGCTCACAGCACATCTGGGGTGCTCATAGCACATCTGGGCTGCTCACAGCACATCTGGGGTGCTGACAGCTGCTCACATCTGGGGTGTCTGTCTGCAGAGCCCGGCTGTCCCCGCGGGCTGGGAGCCGGGCAAGGCGGGGACAGAAAGGATTGAAAGCCGCGTTTGATCCGAGCTGCACTCGGAGCAGCCCCTGCCAGGGATTCTGTCCTCATCAATTCGCTCGGTTCAGAGGGAGGGCACAAAGCAAGGGCAGGGACATTTTTCCAGGACAATCCTATTTTTTGGTGGCACACGGCTGTCTCGGTGGTCACTGGAGCCCCACCCCATGCTCAGCCTTGGGAGAAGGGTGACCCCGCTCTGAGGAAAATGATTTAAAATGCCTTCAGATGCCTTTTCACTTCTTTTTATTTAATTCCATAAATATTTTCATAAGGCTCAGTGTCTTTACAACACTTTTAAAACACTTTTTTTTGTTTTATACACACAACTTTGACACTTGTTTGACAGGGTCAAACAGTCCAATATAAACAAAATAATAAAACTGGCAAGTGCGGATCAGCTGGGTTACCAAAATCCTTTTTTTCTTTTTTTTTTCTTTTTTTGCTCTTACTGTTAAAACCCCAAAAGCACTAAAATATCAGTATTTGGCTTCAAACTAGAATTTTAAAAACCTTTTTTTTTTTTTTTTTTTTAAATTCTCTGCTACAAGTCCCTGTCGTCATAGTGCCTTTTAGCTCCTACAGACTCTTCTTTTCTTCTTAAGGAAAAATAAGCTTGGTGATGCCATGCAGAACTTACAATAGCTACTAAATATACATGTTCCCTGAAATGTAGCTGCAATGAAAAGATGACAGAGCATAAAGAGAACAAAACCAGAAACCCAAAGCACCACAGTGTACTATCAATAACATTGCAATGGACGGCTGGTGCCCATCCAGAAACTGAAACAAATTTCAAATATATTTCTCTATGTAGTATTTTCTATTTACAACTGTTAGATGCACCTAGGTTGGTTCTTGTTTGACTTTTTGGAGAGGGTGGGGAGGCGAAAGTCTTGAATTTAGATCCTCTGTTCTAGTGTCTAGGTTAAGGGTAATGCATGTCATTTACCTAGGGAAGAGGGTTTCTTTTTATTTTTATATATATATATATATATATGTATATATATATATATAGATTCAGCCAGAGAAATACCGTAAACATGTAAGTTTGTTACAACTCTCTTGTTTCTGCATATGGAATGGGAAGTGGGTTCCTCCTGTCTGGCACTGGAATGCAAAGTCTGTACCAGATGCTCAGTCAAGTCACCCCCGTCTGCATGGGCGCTGCTCCCAGCGCTGTCCCACGCGCTCCAGCCCTGCTCCCTGCTGGGACAGCCACAGCAGGTCAAGTGGGACCCAGTGCTGGTTCTTCTTTGTGCCAATGCTCCATCTCCTGCAGCACCTTGGCAATTTATGGAGGGGAGGAGCTTTCTTGAAGGCCCGAGAGCCAAGCCCCTCGTCCCTGCGGCCGCTGTGCCAGCGCCAGCGCGAGCGGCGCTGCCCGGGCGGGCTTCCCACTTAACAAAGAAGCTGCGAGTCCAACAAGTGGCCTTGTCAGATCTTGATTTATGATGCAAATAATGGTGTGGCGGTGGTGTTTCTTTTTTCCTAGTGCTGAATATTTAGGAAGCATCTTCTCATAAAAATTATGGATGTCTCATTCTCACTCTCTGAGGCACAAAACAGTAAATGAACAGGCTTAACTAATGTGCTTGTTACTTGGTTGTTTTTTTTTTTTTCCTAAGCAATTAAAAAGGCAAAAGGACTAAGTGAAATTTTCATCATGTTGACAACATTTTGGAATCTCTCTCTCTTTCTCTCTCTCTCTCTCTGCCTCTCTCCAGCCATACAGAAAGAGTAAAACATTTTCAGTTAACTGACGAGAACCCACCTCATGCACTGCTTTAAATACCCACTCTGTTAAAGAAACAAAACAATATTTGCTATATATCCCACATTAAAATCTAGCCATAAAAATGCAAAGATACAAAATAGCATAAAAATAATATCTGATATAAAATTGGGTTGCTTCCTGTTTGGGATTCCTGGTGTTTGCCTGCTGCCTGTCACAGAGGGGCCACTTCTCCTCTCCAAAACACTAATCTGGCTTTGCTGGTTTTTGATAGTTTTTAGATTATTCAAAAGTATAAGAGAGATTCTTTTTGGATTTAGATAAAAATAATGCCACCTTTGTGACATGCCCTGAAATAAAACCAGGCTCCATGGAAACAATGAAATCACACTCCCTGTTCTTCCCATTCACTTGGATTTCTCGGGGGAAAAAAAAAAAAAGCCAAAAAATATATCTCCACATGCTTTGTCCTGGGGTGCTTATGTGGTGGATCAGATTCCAAAGAAAATGACAAATACCCTGATCAATCACTTCATCCCACATTTTCAAAGGAGCTTCCAGAATAGCTCTGAAAAGATTTCAAGTTCATCTTCTAAATCTAGTTAAACAGTCTCATTTGCCCTAGGAAAAAGAAAAATCCTCCTCCTGACAATGGTCTGTTTTACAAGCTTAACCATAAGCTCCTGCCCTTGCAAACAAATGTACTTAAAGCTGAAATTGTAGGAAGGGTCTTTAAAAATAGAGCTGTGAATCTCCAGAGGGAGAAAAAGAGAGAGAAAGAGACCTGGAGGGTTGGGCTGGTCCATCACCCCAGGCCCACTGTGCTGACCCCTCCAGGAGACTGGACCAGCACCAGCTGGGACTGGGCACAGAGCCACGGCCACAGCTGCTGCAAGGAGCTCTCAGCTCCTCTGCAGCTCGTGTTTAACCCCAGGTGGGCACTCCCAGGGCTGGGGCAAGGATCCTTCTGCTAACGGGGCAGAGCTGGGGCGACTCGGCGTGGGGTGGGCACTGAGAGCAGCCACGGGCCTCACTTTTGGGGTCACTGCTCCTGCAAATGGCAATTAGTGCTTCGTTAGGTGCTGCTGTGCAGGCTGAGTGTGGCCAAAGGATGGGACCTTAGTTCCTGAAGACAGAAAACTGGCCGCTTCTCGGAGCCAATTTTCCTCTCTGCAATGGAGGCATGAAGCCATCGGTTTTTAAGCTTTTATCTTTGCATGAAAAACAAAGATAGGAGTGGGCTTTTCAAATGTCTCAGCTTGAAAAGAAAATAAATCAAAGATAAGCCCACAGAAACAAAGCAAAAAAAGAAGAAAAGCCCCTGATTCTCTTTTCTCCGTCTTACTCCGAGTGTGAACAAATCACACCGAACCGAGAAAAAGACAAGTGCTTAAAAAAACGCAAAAGATGAACTGAGGAAAACCCATCCCTCACTTCCTAAATAGCTGCTTGCCCTTCTGCTGGGTTTCACCTGCCCACGAGAGAACAGTTAAAGCCAGAGAAATACTGCGCAGCGGAGCGGGAGCACAGGGAGCACATCCAGACAGGCACGAGTCAGACCGGGGGATGCAGGACGGGGACAGCGCCGGGCCCGCCCCGGCTGGGGACTGGGGACAGCCAGGGGAGGGACAGGGAGCAGAGACCTCCCAGCACTCCAAAAAACAAACAACACCCCCCCCATAAATAAAATCAAAGAAAATATACACCAATGTAGTCCATGAGGAAGTTCCATGACGGAGTCACACAAGCGAGAAAGCATTCTAGGATGCCAATGACGACTCGGATGGAAATGAAGGAAAACAGGGTAAAAAAAAAACCCAACAAAAAGAGATGTCCAACCAATGGAATAAAATAAAATAAAACAGGTCACATGGTTAGAAATCATTGGTGCTTCCTAGTATCTAGTAGCAGATTACTTCCCAAAAACAACAAAAAAAAGTTTTTGGTCCTTCTATATATATACATATATGTATATATATTATTATTTTTAAAATGTGTGTATACATATATATATGTATATATATTTAGTTGCAACAGTGCTTCTCCGAAAAAAGGTCCATCTATAAATATAATTTTATTTATTTTTATTTTTTAAATTTTAGTTCTTTTAAGTTAAAATTCTCCATCTCTCTAGGTATTATTTTTTGAATGGTGTTAACCTGCTGAAGTTTTGCCAGAATGGTGCCTGGCTGCGTCTGGGTTCGGTGAACTCGAAGACCTGGGACTGGGATATGCCATCTGTCACCATGTATTGTCCCTGATTTAATGGATCCTGGGGTGGTGGGTAGGCTGGAGGAACCGACTTGGAGTAGCTCACACCTGCATCGATGATTGGGGGGAAAAAGAAACAGATCAGTCAAAGAGCAATCGGGTCAATAGTCGTTCTTCGTCATGCTACCGCTTCTTATCGCTCCTTATCGCTCCTTAACCGGTCCCACAAGCCAGGACGTGCCAGGGCTGGCCAATCTCCAATCTCAGTGCCTGCCTGTCCTCTCAGCTCCGAGCTGCCTCCCTAAGCCAAAGCTCCAAGGCTGGGACAGGATCCTTTACTTTTGTTGGGCAGAGCTCTGCCCGCCCTCATGGAAAAGTCCTGTGTGACGCAGGAGAGCCGGGACAGGCCCTGCCCCGCAGCGGCCAACTCATCCCGCTCCGATTTAACAACTCCTGTTCCAAGCTCCTGCTCACCCTCCCTCCCAGCTCTCCCTGGAGAACAGCCTTGCCCCAACATGCCCCTCTGGCCAGCCCCGAGCACGACCCCGAGCAGCACCCCGCTCCGGTTCCCGCACAGAACGGAGCAGAGCTGCTGTGCAAGAAGCCCTACCCTGCGGGGGTGCGCCCACACAGAGGGCGACTCGTTCTTTAGAACAGTTTAGGACTTTTCCATAGGGTTTGTTCTCAATTGACCAGTCTGGTTTCAGCCCAAAAACGGCTGCACAAAACGCAGAAAAGGCTGATTCTGCTCAATCCAAACTGGGAGCAATGGATGGACTGGCAAGGCTACGCTTTTAGGGTTGAGGTGTTCAATTCCCACACAGGTGAGCCATGGCTCCTGTGCAGGAACGGGGAGAGGGGATGCTGCCCGTACAGCTTTCCCACAGAACGAGGGGGCTTCAGCATCCTGTCGTAAAGGATGGTGTGTAAAGGGTGTCTCTGGGTGACTGAAGTGGAACAGAAGGGATGTGTGTCACCACCAAAGCGCAGCCTACAGGGCACAGTGACACAGTCTGGATGTCCTTCCCCACAAAGACAACCCCTCCTTCAGCCTCGGGGCAGTGGGGCCAGCTGGAAACCATGACTCCAGGAAGGAGAGAGGAGCAGGGCTGTGGAGCAGCTTGCTGTAAGCTCTGGCCATCTCTGGATCATGCAGAACTGCTCTTCCTTCTGCAGGAGGGGGCCGTCGCCTCCCCAGGCTTTAACCACAGCAGCGAGGCCACTGTCCCCAAGCAGCTCAGTGTCCTCATCTGGACAGCGGGATGGCATCCCCACCTACCTCACAGGAGGGTTGTGAAGCTAAATTAATTAATGTTTGTAAAACACTTTGAGATCCTCGGCTGGGAAGGTGCTGGAGAAGGCAAAATACGGTGATTAGCACCCAGGTACCAGAGCAAGGTGTGCACAGCAATGCGGCTCCTACCACACACAGACACGCCAGCGCTGGCCGGGCACGGACGGCGGCACACGACGGGCACTGACACACAGGGAAAGCCTCACGAGGGCACCCACAGAGCTCACCACACAGCTGGGCCAGGTGCTGCTTGGCAGGCAGGGCCTCTTTGGGGTAGGAGCTAAGAGTCTTTAGGGAAGAGAACTGATTCGCTTCTCCCTGCTAAGGAATTTACCAATGCTCAAAAGGTTCAGACCAAATGGAAATGTCTTGAGTACATCTAACTGATTTCTCCTTCTTTACTATATTTTCTGCAGCTCTTTGCCCACTGTAGAGAATAAGCAAGATCATTCCTCACAGTGGGCAAAAACTGCTCTGCGATTCACACTCATTAACCTTTAACGAATTCATCACAATTAGCAGTTCAAACTTACTTGGAGAGATCGACCTGGAGATGTTCTGCAGCTGTACCTGCATGCTGGAATAGTCACTCATAAAGGACTTCTCTACCCTGTCTTCCCAAGTCCTGTCTCCCACCTGCAGAGCTGAGGGCAGCCCCAGAGCTGTGCTGGGGTCACACCTGGGCAGGGGCAGCTGCAGGAAACCTGACACAAATTCTGCCCCACCCTCCTTGGTACAAAACTCCAAGGAACAGTTTGAATTTCCACCTTCCTTGGTACAGAACTCCAAGGAACAGTTTGAATTTCAATCACTGTGTGACTGAAACCCACAAGGGCACGGCACTGAGCTCCTCTCTGCCCACCTCTCCCATCCCTTCTCCTGGCACTGTCCTGCTCCGAGCTGCCCATCTCCAGGCTGGCCAATATGAGACCAACTGCAGAAGACAAACTCCAGCCCTGAGCCCATCCAGGAGTGCCAACCTTCTCCTGGAGGCCACCAGTCCTTGGCCAATTTTCCCAGCAGAGACTGGTGAGGGATTCTAGGATCTCTGGGAATGTTAGGATCTGTTACAGGTCCCTTACATGTCCAGAGTTGGGAAATAAATCTGCTTTGGCTTTCAGGCTGATCACAAATTACCTCACACAGTTCTCATGCCACTAAAATTACTCATGTTCTACAACAGTAGAGCTGTGAATCTAAAACTGCTACTGGGGGGGAACACAGAAATTGTTTTTAGCTTTGGAAGTCCTTAAAGCCACCTTGCTTTAGTGACATGGCCCCATGGCTTTGGCATCCTGTGGCTGGGCTCTTTACTACCTCTAAACCAATTTGAGGAGAGTGAACTAATGTATTTTAATTATGATACAAAATGCTAGGAAATCTCCTGGATCAGCAAAATGCTGTGCACTTGGAAAGCTGAAGAAGTAGAGGAAGGACACTCTGGCTGATGTCCACTGACAGTGATGGAGTTACTGCAAGGAATAGAATCCACCGTCTGTCTTCTCCAAAAGGGAAAAGGGCAGACTCCCCTGGCCAGATCACCACCAAACCCCATTCAGTTCTTTCCAAAACTCCTGAAAGATGTCTGTCCTTGCTCAAAACACACCCATGCACAGCCTTCCCCCTCCCTCCATAAAGCAGCTCTTCCCACAGGTGTATGTGTGCCCTGTGGATCTGGGCTACTGGCATCAACATCTGGGCTGGATGAATGCCAGAAGCTCCTCGCTGGTTCTACTGGTATAAGGAGCTGAAGGTTTCATATTTCTGTTGTTTATCCAATGGCCTGAAGGATCAAACCTATGGATCTCAAGGACATGCACCATTGCCATGTGTGGGACATGCAAATAAAACCACTGTGCTCTGCTCATTCCAGAACACATTTCCTTGTGGAAGTGTGAGACAGCACTCTGCCATAGCCTGAGGTGCCCCAAGAATGACTTCTCCATTTTTTTTGGACACACCCATGTTCTGGAAAACAGAAACTGGGAGGGCAAGATTCACCTTAATCTGCACATCTTCCAATCCTAACAAGGAGCAATTCTGGGAAAGGTCTGGCAGGCAGGTATTTTTCTGTTCTGTTCTGAAGTGGTTTGTTCCCTCATCAGAACTCGGGGCCATCGTGCAAAATTGTCTCTTGATGGATATTTTTTTAATATGCAAAGCCATAACTCCACTGCAATCCACCAGAAAGAAATGAGCAAAGCTCTTTTCCAAGGCAATTTTGGGCAGCGTGGAGAGTGGAATTCAAAGCACAAAGGGGAGAATCAATGGATAAGGAACGATTTCCAGGCACAGCAGCCAAGTCCACCCCACGGGCAGAGCTGGAGCTCCTTCTGCTGGTTTGTGCCTCATTCTGCAGCGCGGCTGCAGCTGTACAGAGGGATTGCTCACAGGGCGGGGCTGGGGAGAGCTGCTCACGAGGAGAACAAGAAAATTCCCAGATTCATCATTTGGCTAGACAAAACTGGTGAGAGATGCTGCGCTGTCACTTGAAATCATGTCTTTTTATAGCACCAGGCAACGTCACTTGGAGCCTTTTGGATTTCTCAGCTCAGAATGAAACAATTAAAAAGATTTAAAACTGTCTCATTTTGCCCTTCGAGGTTGGTTTTTTTTTTTTTGGTGTATTTTTTTTTTCCCAAAGTGTCTCTTCTCTTTGAGGCTACAACACGATTTCAGCAGCACGTGAAGCATGCTGGTAACCCACAGGCAACCCACAGGGACTCGTGCAGACAGATCATCCAGCAGGACAATGCCCCTGCCCGGGCTCACACGACACAGACACGGAGAACACGCACATCTCCTCCACACAACCATGGAAACTTGCCTTACAAGCTATTTACTCCGTCCTCCACCTAGGAGATTTTAGCTTATCCTTTGATCAGCAGCTATTTCCAGGCTTCGCCCCCACCCTGCTGTCCACGTCTCATGCTGCTCACTAGCCAGAGCTGGGGAGGGGACAGTGACATTGCCACCCCTGCTGGCATCTTCTGCCCTGGCCAGGAACCTTCCAGCTCCCTCAGAGCTCAACAGCAGCTCAGCCAACTTGCATCTTTCAGGGGGTGCTCAAACCCTCCCCAATTCAGTTTCCTCCTGAATACCGTGACCCCACACGCAGGGAAGCCATGGACGCGCCTCCAGAGCACTAATTGTTCTATGGTTAATTACTCCTGTCACAGCAACGAGTTTAAGTTAAAGAAAAGAGCACAACTGGCTGGGTGGGTCCAGCCCTTTGCCCTCTTCAGCACTTTTCAACAGAGGATCTCAAAGCACTGCCCCACCACTCCCTGGGCCACCTGCAGGGCTGGCAAAGGATGTGTCTGGAGCTGGCTGTCCCCGAGGTGAGGATGGAGCTGGGAATAGGAACCCTCTGCCTGCCCAGGCAGTCCTGACCTTTTCCTCCCTTTTCACCTCCCTGCCAAATCACCCAACTCTCACTTTGCTACACTTGCCCAGCTCCAGAGGAATTTCAGTGGTGCCTCAGCCACACAACCAGGATTTCACTCCAGGCCCTGCTATTCCCAGGGATGGTGAACATGCCTTAGCAACCTTTTCTAGCCACAAACCTCCCTTCTCTGTTCAGGAGGGAGAGGGCTGGCTGCAGTTTGAGAAATGCAGGAGGAAACAGTCATTTCATGTCCTGATGTTCCCCAGACAACCACAACATCTACCTACACACACTGAGCTAACCCGACCTTCTGGAGTCTATTTATCAAGTCTGCTACTGCAGCCTGATGTCATTATAGCAGACATTAAGATAATGATTCCTCGTGTGATAAGAAAAGCTAATCGAGGCAAGATGGAATAAATGATACTGGGGCTTTATCCATCAGAGCTGGGTGAAAACGAATTCCTGCCATCCTGTGTTTGTAGAGCCTCCCTCTCCCCCAGCACCCTGATCACACAGCTCACTCCGTGGCTTTCACTGATGGGAAAGGATCAGCTCACACCTGGAATGCTGCTGCACCTTCTGGGGAGCAACTCCTTCTTAAAACCCCTCACCAAACTCAAGGTGCAGGGGGCTCACAGACTTATTTCAGTGGGAATTTCAATATGTCATTGATGTCAACACCTTGGCTCTTCCCACGAGGGCCATTAACATCTCACCAAAAAACTGCCTGGGGGGGACTTGCTCAGCCAGTGCCACCAGTACCATCCTCAGAGGCCCCCCAGCCAAGGATTTATTCCTCATTTGCCCTAGCTGGTAGATCTGACTGGTTTCTGGAGGAGGCTGAGCACCCCAGCTGCATTCCAGATGCCATCAATGGGATGGTGCCTCTGGACCCACAGCACGGAGCACTGGTAGGGTCTGGATTTTACAAGAAATGGGCTAAACTCTGAGATCGCCCTGAATCTGTGGGGAAATACCACTGACAACACGATCAGCTCCATTCCTTCACCTCCCGTGCTGCGAAAACAGGGAAGTGACCCTGATTATCCGAAAATGCAAATGCCCCCTTTGTTTCCAAGCAGTTGGGCTGGGTTGCTCAGGCTCTCGCAATCCCCCGAGGCTGTGCCTACACGTGTGAACCGATGGGGAAGCACGGCAGGGCCACATCAATCTCCTCAGCGAGGAAGATGCACTAAAATGGGATTAAAGAGCCAGGAGAACCAGGGGAGGGACCCTGGTCAGCCTGTCCTGCCCAGCTGTGCTGTGCAGAGCTGCTGGGGGAGCAGAAGTGGGGGAGAATGTCTGGGTCAGGGCTTTTATGACATAGTTGGCTGTGAGTTCAAGTGATCAGAAAAGAATAAATTAACAGGAAAATCCAGTGATTCAGAGGGTGTTTGGTGACAGGCCAAGGCAGTTCATGCTGGCTGATGATTTAACCCCTCCTGGGTTTGCATGGCTGAGTGTTCAAGGGCAGGTTTAGTGGCACCATCTCAGGTGATGCTGACTGAATCTCTGCTTACCTCATCCCAAAGACCTGTCAGGGCTGAAGGCATCTCCTGGGGGAAGGGTGCACAGGGCAGGGAGAGGAGCTGGGTGTAGTGTGGGGCTCAAGAGCTCTCCTGAGGTGGGACACACCCCCAGCTCACATTAAGGTCACTTATTTAAATCTCCACAGACATTTCCTTTCCCAGAAGTGGGCAATGATGCTTTAAGAAAGGAGTCTCCTTCCTGGGAGGACACCTTGACACCACTGGCTGGCAGCTGCTAGGAATATGAACAAATGCCCCTTCTGTGGACAGGCTGTCCTGAAAGGGGCCAGATGTGGACAGAGCTGGGGATCAGAGTGTTCCTGCAGGCTGCAAACAACAACCCCTGGAGGGGGGGATCACAAGTGGCCAGGGAACAGAGGCCCCTCATGGAGGGAGGCACTCCATGAGCTTCCGTTTTCAAATGCTCAGAAATGGGAAAATTACCCTCCATTAACCTTTGTCTACGTTAAGAATGGACTGGAGATCCACAAGGAATCCATTTTCCAGGCAGTTTCCACTCCTTCAGTCAGAGACAAGCACGGTGCTGGCAGAAGAGGCCAGCGCCACCCTCGTGGTGCCCTGTCCCTCAGTGGGACCCAGGCTCTTCACACAACCTGCCCTCCTGGCCGGCTGCAGCCTGCTAAGATAAAATTTATTTGTTTTTCTAAGATAAAACAAATAAATTTCTCCCATTACTTCACTATTTCTAGGAGACACCAGACTGAATTCTCTTCCCAGTTCCCACAGTGCCACTGAAGGGCAGAACCAAGAGGCAAAACCTTGAACAATCAGTGCAAAAGGCAAACAGCAGCAACCAGCCCTTTTCTCTGTCACTGAGGTGCAGAGCCAGCACCACCCATCCACTGCATGTCTAATGGACTTAAAGAAGGCCAAAAACTGGTTGAATGCTGTCTTAAGGCACCTGGTCTAATATTATGTTCTGCCCAATCCAAGCAGGAGTGCAGATCCTGGGCTGCTGCCCATCATTAAGTGGGTCTGGCAGGGAGCCTGGCCCTGTACACGTGTCTGGGCACACCTGAGAGCCACGAGGGGGCTGCTGCCCCACACAGCACCCTCAGCCAGGCATCCAACACTTCTCAAAACACTCCGAGAGTGTTCCCACTTAATCACCTGCATAAAGGTCCTGTTCGTTTAAAAAGCAGAGTTTGAAGGTTTCTTCTGCTGCTCTCAGCTGCTCTCCCCCTCTCCTGCTGTAGCCAGCAGAGGTTTAAATGCCTCTTTCTCAAACACATGCCAGCCATCTCCAGAGCAATACTTCTGGGAGGTGTGGTACAACAGTGCATGAAATAAGCAGCAGTTTATACTATTTGAAAAATGTTTTTCTGCTTCACCTCTAACAAAGTTGATTGCATTTTCCATTTCACCTCCTTCATGGCTTTTCTCTCTTCCTTAAGTGTTCTGTGACAGGGGAATTACCATAGTTTCCCATTTAAGAGGTGCAGGGAACAAGTGAGATTATCTAGGAACAAGTCTGTAATAGGCATCCTGTGACACAGGAGCTGGGCTGGCAGCATCTCGAGCTGCTGAGCTGTCAAGCCCTGCTGCAGCCACTCAGACCATCCTGAATTTAATTTAATTAATCTATTGAATAAAGTGACCTATTCCTCCTTCTGAAGGGCCTTCCTGCTTTTCAGGTACAACTGATGCTCCAAAAGCAGCTCCAAGCCCTTTCCCAAGGCTCCAGTGGTGTTGTGGGGGGGCAGAGGCAGCAGCACAGGCATACCTGCAGCCCCAAGTGCTGCCAAGCTCTTGGCAAAATTAAACGTTGTCAACATCTGTAAAATGCATAGGGCAAGATTTTAAAAATCAGTCACCAAAAGCCAGCTCTCAGGTGTTTCCTCCTACCTCCCTCTTCTGAGCAGTGCCAGCAGCTCCCTGCTCTGGCAGCCTCATGCCTCTCGTTGGGTCTTGGGCACAGGACAAACCACAGAGTAACAAAACTAAGAGTTCTCAGTGTCAGTATTTAATTTAATCAACCTGAGACTGGGCTATGATCACCTCAGTATAGGGCAAAGCATACAGAGCTACTGTTTTAATGACTCTATTTGTTGTTTTTCAGATTTCACACCCTAAAACCAGCCAGGCTGTGCTTAACTCGGTGCTGGGTGTGACTGAACTTCTGTCTGGCTCGAGGACTTAATCCCATAAAAAGAACTGCCAGTGCCACAGCCTAAGCTGTTCTTCACTCCAGAAATGCTGACTGCTGTTTTAGGAGCTAATGAATTTCATAGTCCAAGAAGCCCAAGATAACAACCCCTCCTTTTTCATCTCAGAGAGAAAGAGAGAGAAAGACAAAGAGAGCAGACAGAGAGCAATTGCTGTGTAAGACACAAGTCTTGTCAGGCAGATTGTATTTGTCAGGATGCAAGTCCAGTAATTTACGTGGGAATACTGGCAGGCATGCTCAGGCACCTCCCAACTGTGTCACTTACTGGCTGAACAGTACAATTATTAATTAATACCTCTATTAATTAATAATATAATGAACTGAACAGCTAGCAATAATTGAACCTCGCTTTGTCACGGCAGTCATGCAAGTCAGGCTCTCTCCCAGTGCAGCTCCACGAGCCCTGTGGATGCTCCCGTGCTGAGGGACACACATGCAGGTGCTGAGGGGCTGTGACAGGGCACAGGGACAGTGTGAGGCACCTGGGCCTGCTCTGGGTGTGCACACTCTGAGCTCAGAACATCTGGCCAGGAGAGTTTTTAGAGAACATCTCAGGAGACAACAGAAGAAGTTAGTAGAGAGGAGAAGACTGATGACAATGGAGAGACACAGCAAACCAAGGAGTTCACAGCTGGCCTGGCAAACCACTCCTGGACCAGCAAAGCCAGTAGACAACACACAGGTGAGGCAGAAAGCAAAGAGCTCCTTCAGCTTCTGCAAAACCCCCCAAAACATCTGCACAGAGCGGGGACCAACCTGCCTGCACCTGACCTGACCAAGCCTTGAGGAGCTCTCTCAAAACCCACTTGTAGGCCTACTTGTGCTATGGTACTTTGGTAACAAATCAATACATCCACAACTGTGTGAAGCTTTGGAGAACTTGAGGAATGAACTCTCTGACCTTCCCTCTGTGTTGAGTATTTCAAAACCTGTAGCTGCAAGAGTTATTGCGAGAGAGAATTAACGCTGGCTTTGGCCAGTTGAGGCTCTGCCTAACACCAGGCAGGGCATTGCTCAGCTGGCTGCAGCCTGCCTGGCTGGGGAAATGAATCTGACATTCCAGAGGTACAGTGTCTTTACTAAAATACTTTATTTCCTAGAGTTGATGCTACTGTGCTGTCTTTAAGAAGTTACAGGCAGCCCCAGGGAAACAAGAGTGTCCCTTTCCTTTCCAGCAGCAGGAAAGGGGTACTCCCTCCCCAGTTCCAGCATTTTAGCTTTTTTTTTTTTTTTTTTTTTTTTTTTTTTTTTTTTTTTTTTTTGCTAATGGGAGACTTTGGGAATTAGCAGAACCTCTACACACCTCCGCACTCACTCCCATTTCAGCCTGAGATAAACAACTGAGATAGATTTCTGCCCCCAGGGACAGCTTCTGGACATCAGACTGGAGACACGAGATCAAATTCATCTCTGGTGCAGTTCCACTGGCTTTCAACCACCTTCGACCAGAGATTAATTTGGCCCACAGATACATTAAGGAAGGATACAAAGCACAAACGGTATTTGATATAAAAAGAGAAGGGAGGGGGAAGTTGAGGGGATGCTGGATCCTAACCCAGCAGGATTCAGCCCAGCCCGCTCCACCCTCACATCACCAGGCACAGAGCGTGTTGCCGGTTACCTTTTTGCTTACTGACTTTCTTTACTGTCATTGCCGCTTGCCGCTTTTGATTCTCAGAAATTTCAAAGCCTGGAAAAGGGAACACGGCAAACACAATTCAGAAGGTTGCTCACAAAGCCTCATTTCCTTTTGGGGAAGGGGATGCTCTGCACTGTTTGCAAACTCGGAATGCTCTGGGTGTTCTACTGAAAATCAACTCTTCCTTGGCCTCCTTCTAATCTCACTTGTGCAGGGGCTGAATGAAAACTAAGATTAGAGCCATTTTTATTTATACAGCATCATAAATATGCCCAGTGCTTTAGAGCTGAGCAACAAACTGAGCCTGGAGTGACACTGGTCACAGTCAGTTTAGGGGCTGGTGCAAGGGAAGGGCTGTCACTGACTTTGCTGCCTCCCCTCTGCATGAAACATCCCTAACCAGAGCAGGAGGATGCAGCCAGGAGACCCTGAAGGTGGATGGCCAAAGCCTTCCCTCTCCCACACACCCACAGAGCTCCAGGCTTGAGCTATGGGCAGAATTTGTTCATTGAGGGCCAAAAAGAACAGTAACTGAGCTGGAAATAGACCTATTTATGACTAGGAGAGCAATCAAGGACATTTCAACAAGGTTAAACTGTAATTCTACCACAAAGAAAACAAGGGCTCCTCCACACATTGGGGCTAAATTAAACACTACCAACAGCCTCCTTTCAGATTCATTTCCACACTCCTCACCTATTTTTTCATCTTCTTTTACCATCTTCCTTTCTTCTCTGAAAGCTCTAAGCCATCGTAACTTCTCCTCCAGTTTCTTGGCAAAGAATAAGTGCATTTCCTCAGTCTCCTTGTTATGTAGTTTGAAGGCATTCTTCATGCTGACATTGAAGTCATCATCTCTCCCATCTTCTATATCCACCACTTCATATTTATCCATGTCTATGCGCCCTTTGTAATACAGGATATCCCTTCGGATCAGATCCTGCAGAGGGAAAAGGAGACAGGGATCATGGTGAGATCTCATGGAGAGCCTGAGCTCAGCAGGGAATTCCTGGGAGAGCTGAGGGAGAGAAGGAAGTGATGGTGAAACCTGGTCAGATCCTTCAGCTCCTGGGAGAGCTGAGGGAGAGAAAGAAGTGATGGTGAAACCTGGTCAGATCCTTCAGTTCTTGGGAGAGCTGAGGGAGAGAAAGAAGTGATGGTGAAACCTGGTCAGATCCTTCAGTTCCTGGGAGAGCTGAGGGAGAGAAAGAAGTGATGGTGAAACCTGGTCAGATCCTTCCAGCCTCACCTCTGTGAACACATCTCTTGTTGGCCAAACAAGGCAGACCATAGGCAGAGAGGAACAAAATACATGCCTGAGCTGCAAAATTCAGTTTGTAGGCACAAAGAAATGCCTCTGAGTAGGTGCCATGTTCCAGCATTTCCATATGGGAGGTTCTGCTCCACGGGGTGAGAAATGTGAGGTCCAGGCCCAGCAGGGGCCCACCAGGCTGTGCCATCACTGCTCTTGCAGCACAGCCCAGATCTGTTTTCCACACACATTCCCACTCCAGGGTGGGGCTGGTCTCTGCCCCTTCTCCCTGGGGCCCACTCCCACTCCCACACAGCCCACTGGTGAGAAACCACCCTGAGGTTCAGCTAAAGCCCTCCTAACCTACCTCTGGTCTCATTCCACCCTGGATTTAACCTCTTGATCCAGCTTAGTTTTTTGTCTTTTTCTCTCCTTGATAATTATAACCTTTTCAACCAAACCTGCTCACGTTCATCTCCTGTCTCAGTTTTCAGCAACAGCTCATTTCTCTGGTCTGGGAAGGAAAAAGTAAATTCCCCATTGGCCCCACATCTCTGCGCCTGTTATCTCAGACAACAAAAGATGATCATCAGAAAACAGAATGTTATTTGTCTAGTCATGGCCATACAAGGTGATTAAATTTATTTAAAACCAAATTCAGCAACACAATTAAGATTTCCTTCCTCTAACCACTCTCAAAAGTCTCTTAATATTTAGGTATATTAAATAAATTTAACCAAAATACCTTTGGATTTTTCAGAGTGCCCTAAAGATAAATGCTATGTCAAAGGATTCATTTGAGAGGAAAAATGAAGTCAATATACAACATTTACTTATTCAAATAATATTTGGCAGTGAGGCTTTTTCATGATAAGCAGTAGGTATTATTTTAAATAAATTAATCTTAGAAAATAAACTTTACATCATAATGATTTAGCAAAATTGCTCATGAATCTGCCAGACAGTATTAACTATCACAAGACTGGCCAGAAGCTCACAGGCTTTAAATCCTGACTCCTTCCTCTGGAATGCTCTGGGCAGGGGGGGCATTTCCATTAACTAGTAACTTGTACAAAAACCTTCCTCTGGTGTAGGCCTGAAATAGTGATAGTCCAAAACATAAGAAAAAGGTATTTCAGGCTGAATAGGCAAAAGAAAATCTTTCAGTCTTGTCCTAACTTAGGAAATTGTTTGTTTCCCTGTGGAAAGGCTGCAAGAGCCACACAGAGCCTGATCAATCAGTCAATCCCACACAGGGTGCCTAATGGGAGGCTGGGGCTTGTTCTCATAGAGAACATTTATCTGCATCACGTTCCCAAACCCACCAGATACCAAATCAGCAGCAGGGATGTGCTCCTTACATCAGCTGCACTGCATCCATTCCCCTTCCCACTGCTGCTGAGAACTTCCAGAACCAGCCCCAACAAACCACGCTCCTGTGAGGATGGATCCAGTGGACCTTCCCAGGAAATTTTCATGATTGTGGAGAGATTTGTTCACTAGGTATTCAAGAATCAACAATCACAAGCTCTGAAACTCACAGGCTCTGTGCACTGCCTCTTTCCTTACACACACTAAACACATTTTTCCCCTCTTATCTTCCCAGTTTTGACTCAGAAAACATTAAGAGTTGTTTTTAACTGCTACTGCCAAGTGAATGCTTTACCAGCTTTGTGCTTCCAGAGGACAATCCATGGGTTTGGACATGTCTGACTGAGCTGGTCCACACATTTCTCCTCCTGGGATGCAGCAGGAGCTGTCCCTGGCTCCAGTGAGGCTCCTGAGTACTGGATGTGAAGGTAAAGGTGCTGCCCAGGAGTTCCTGAAGGAGCAGCGAGGAGATAATGGAATCCTACAAGTGCCTCAGGAGATCAAATGGCCCCACAGGTTTTTTATTGCTGGGGAAATGCAGGAGGGGGGAGCAGCAGCTCAGCTGCAGAGGGGGAAATGCCACTTTGGTCTCGAGCTGAGCAAGGGAAAGGCAACAGCACAAAGTTTCTGTCTGCCACTTCCACTGTCAATGGGAGAAGGAGTTCAATAATGATTCCAGAAGAATCAACTTTTCTCCCAATGCTTTCCTTCAAAAGAAGGTGCATTCCTCACTTGTTGGCCATGAACTCCACACTGGTACCCTGAATTTATGAGGCACTTTATTCCCCACACAAACATCTCATGAGCAGCACGTGCCTGGACATGGAGGACTTCATCCACAGCTGGCTCCAGAAAGTTCAGTCCATAGATTAACAACTGTAACTGGATAATTCCATTCTAAATGGGCTCAATTTCCTATTATCATGCTCTCTTCTTCTTGCCAACACTCAGTGAATGGATATTATTTCCCAACTGACTAAATTTTAACACCCATAATATGGGAAGCACAATAATTATTTGATCCATGGCTATTTTACCACAGCTTTTAAACAATAAAAGACACTACTCAGTTCCTTAGTGAAGCATGGCCCTCTTCAAACACCTTGCAGTGTAATTGAGCTCAAAAAAATGTAGGTACTCATCAGGCCTACAGCAGACAGCAAACAAGGCCAAACCTTGTTTTAAGGAGTTTTTTATGCAAGTGGACAAGAGGACAGAAACTGAGAGATCACAGAGGCCACGAAGGGATGCTGCTAGTGTGGTCTCTGCCAGGTGCAGCAGCAGTGCTCCAACAGGAACCTGTTGCTCCTCACACCACCTTGTCCAGCACAGTTCTGTCCTTTTCCCAGCATATCCATGGAGCCAAACAAAACATGAGATTGAGGAAAGCACTGTGAGGCTGAGGAGGGAAATGGATTACACCAGCCTGGTGTAAGTACTGTGTGGCAGAAGGACAAAGCAGATCCGTGCACAAAAATGGAGATTCATCTGCTGCAGAAGCTGAGAGGAGCTCTGGCCTTGCGAGGACAGGAATGCTGTCCCTGCTCCTGGTTATCTCTGAAGGTTGTGAGTTCCATCCTCACATGGGACACCACCAAATGTTGATTCCTTAACATCTTTTCTGCCCCTGTCAAGGTCGGCACTGAAGCACTAGAGATGGAATTTCGTGCTCAGGCTCAAATGTTTTTGTGTATTACTGTCCTACAAGTCATGAGTTCTACAGCATTCTACTAACAAGCTACAAAATGGCGAACCATCTTTCTCTACAAGGTCTTTTAAGGCTAAACTATGCAATTAAGAAATGACACCTAAATTATTTTCACTTTTAACCCAATAACTAATTACTCATGTAGACTTTTCTGTCCAATTAGATAAAACCACCCAAACCCATGGAGAAGAAGGTGAAAAAGAACAATTAGCCACTGCCCTAAGACCTCCATCTTGCCTTATATATATTTCTATATTCTAAACCCTTAAACTCTGAGTTTTCCACCCTGTGACATTACACACTTCTATTTAAACTCCACACCCATAATCCCAGTTCTATCATTCCATTTTGGAAGCCTTCTCCACTGCCTCAGGTCAAATGTAGTGTTCTCTCGTGAGTCTGTGCCTTTCAGCACAGAAAGTCTAAAATTCTCAGCATCCAGGGTTCCAGCAGTTATCCAGGGATAAATGAGAGAATTAGAATGAGAGAAATGAAGAAATTATTAATCTCTAGGATATAGCTTTGTTCACAGGCTGGCTCTGTCTGTTTGGTCCTGTTTATTACCCTGCCTGTGGCTCAGCCAGAGTGGCCATGGGCTGCTCTGCACTGGCCAGTTCTGAACGTCACACAAGATTATTTCTTGTAGTTAAATCAGGCAAGACCAAGAAAATTCAGAAACCCCCCAAAAGACTCTCAAAACCTTATCAGTGGGCAAAGGCTAAAGAAATGGAGCTGTTTAATCTAGAAAGGCCATTAACTAAAAAGGAATGTGCTGTTGGTATTCCACTATGCGAAAGCTGATCCTCTTTTAAGGAGGCTGGTGATCATTCTCCATTTTGATTGTGGCTTGGCTTAATTTACCACAGGGGAGAACAGGAAACTTGGAAAAAAAAAAGTTTCTATCTAGAAGAGTGGTGAAACCCTAGAAAAGACAAAATAGGGAAGTCTTGGGATGACATTCCTGGGGGATTTTCAAAAGAAGGTTAGACAAACATCCATCAGACATGATCTGAGTGTGCTTAATCCTGCAAAGGGAATAGCTGCTCTCCGGGGTCCTGCCCAGCTCTGCAGCTGCATGGTGTGTGAGAGGAGGTGCCAGATGGAGCAGGGCTGGGAGCAGGTAGGATGAGCAGGACCTGGGGCAGTGTGGGGCCAGCAGCAGGAGCAGAATGGCACAGACCAGCAGCCTCTGCAGAGCACCCAGCCTGCCTGCCTGCCTCTAAAGGAAATGGATGCATCTGGGTCATTTGCACTTATTTGTCTAAATATGATCTTTTTTTTACCCTACAGCTTCTACGATTTCCTTTTCTTCCCCTCGCTGAGGTTAATTAAGCTCTTCTGAATAATGCTCTGCAGCCTGTTCACGTAATCTGTACTAAGGATTCACAAGGAAAAGATGAAGCCAAAAAAAGTGGTTTGACAGGAGCACAAAGCAAAGTTCTGACAGGTTACATAAGCCCCCCCAGCTCTGCTCTCCAGGTGCTGGGCTGGGCTTTCTGGCCATGCTCAGGGCTCCCCTGCCTTGGGACCTGCCTGGGCCATCCCCTCTGCTCCCACCCCCGTCACTGTCCCCTCCTGGAAGGGGGAAGGTGACTTCATCTAACTGTGC